GTTCTTTACTAAATAAATCTTTTTTAATTTTCTAATTTATATTATAAAGACAATTTTTTAAAATTTTATTTATTTTATTTATTTATTATTATTATTATTTTTTTTTTTTTTTTTTATCTTTATTTTATTATTTTTTTTTTATTTTCTTTTTTTTTTTTAGGATTTTGAAAGAATTAATCTTTACCTTTAATATTGCAATTAATGCTTTTCAATAATGGTATTATAAAGACAATGCCATGAACTCTGAATTTTGTATATTTAGACATTGTTGGAAACCTTAATTTTTGTACTCATTCAGAAGCCTACATGCAAATTCGACTGAATTATTATGACCTGATATATATTTCAATTTGCTATTGCTTTTCAATAGTATATATACTTGTGAGAGTATTTTGAGATATCGAATCTACGATATTGTAGGTGATTAGTTAATTGAACTATAGTGAGGTGTGCATATGCTTTAATCTCTTCATATAATTCTTCTGATATTTCAATACTAGGGTCTAGGCATTCATGGAAAAATCTATGATCGATATTCACTTTTGAAATGCCAAGAATGATATCAACTCGTACTATAATCTTTCTTTACAGTTGTAACATTTGTATCTCTTCTGATTTGAATCTATATATTGTTTACTTATAGCTTCATTTAACTGGCTACATATATATGTGAATCTACAGACTATATCGCTATACATTTTTGATTGGTCTACTTTGTGATAGCTAACATACAAATATTAGTGATATGAAAGAAAAAAAATAAACAAGAACAAAGAAGGTAAAGATTTTTTTTTTTTTAAAAAAAAAAGCATGCTCAAAAGATTGAAAAAAGGTGAAAATAATTAAAAAGGATGAGATAAAAAGAATTAAAAAAAAAAAGACTAATAGAACTTATGTCTATAAAAAATCATTACCACCTTCGATTTCAGTAATAACAAGGTTAGTAATTTCTTTTGCTATCATATTTTGTGCATCTGAATTCATTTTTACTAATAAATGTGTCTGGTATGCTCTATCAACTATGCTGTTAGTATTTGCACTTTCTATTAGTTCTTAGAACTTATTTAAAACAAAGTCACCAATCTTGAGGTAATTGATTTCAATATTATCAACTTGCTCAGTTTTCTAACTAATAACTTCAAGATTCTTTTTCTTTCAATTATGATTTTTTTTATATCCAATACACATTTTGTGGCAAGTATATCTCAAACAAATTTGTCATCAATATGATTAACTTTATATCTACTATATTTTTTCATTTTGATATAAACTAGAAACTATATATGTTAAAATCTATATAATGTGGCTTTTAGTGTATATAATTTTGTTCTTTGGCTTTTTGAAATATTGCTTATAGTAAGATATTATCCAATATTTATATGAAAAACTAAGCATATTTTATTATTATAATGTTATTAATAATAATTGTATGTTTGTAGGATATGAAATATAAGTTATGAATATGTTGCTGCATACAAAGAGAAATATGAAATTCCAAATATGTTATTATATGACCATTGAATAATAAAGATATGTTGGAAAAAAAATTATTTATTTATTTAATTGCTTTATTATTGTATTACTTTTTAATTAAATTATTGATATTACTAGAACTAATATAATATAAATCTATCATCTAGATATATTTGAATACCTTAAAATAGATGTGTAGGAAGATTTGATTGCATTAATATAGGTTTGTAAGAAAATTTGATTACATTAAAAGTATTCATGAAGAGATTTGTATTAAAGCAAATCTTTAAAAAGGGTTGAGTGCATTAGAATGGGACTGTGGAAAGTTTGATTGTATTAAAATATAAGATAATGGCAATAATTTTTTAAGTTATAATTTTATTTTGTTAATTATAAAATATAATGATACAGATTTAATTTTATGCATTTTTACATAGAGTGTACAGATTTATGCGATTTTAGTAGATTTTTATTATTCAAAAATACATGAAATTGGACACTTTAATTTTTACATAGCTTCATATTAGAAAGAAAGATATAACTTATCAGTAACAAAACTATGAAGTACAATTATAATAATTAATAATAAAAACAATAAGAATAATAATAAATATATTTAAATCAAGCATTAATAAGATAAATACTAATAAAAAAAGAACAATACATCTAATAAAAAAAACAATACATTTTATTGATAACTAGAATAGTTACTAATATAATGTATAAATAAAATATAAATACAAGATATTAATACTTGGATCCATTCAAAAAATCTGTTAGATGTTGTATTAGATATCTATTTGTATCAGATAACAAAAATATATTTAAAGATAGTTGGATATCTATTAAACTATCTGATACTTTATTTAATAATATTGATGTATTATTTATTAAAGAACTTCTATAAATATATATTCTATCTTGAATACAATTTTTTTTTTATATTTCTTATTCATAATTGTAAATAATGAATAGTGAAGATTTATCAAGCAAAACCTCAAGTAAAATTTCTAAGCTTTACAAGACATTCAAATTTCTAACTAATCAAATAAAATCTATTAGCATATTTATTAGTTCTAAGTTGAATTCTTTAATTACTTTATTTTTGCTTTTTCATCCTTGATTCATTATGTTCGAATTGCATGTCTAACACGATTATAAATTACAAATAATATCATGTTATGCTATAATTTCTTTTTTTTTCTTTTTTATTAAAAAAAAGGTGTTTTATTAGTAAATATCAATATATAAACTTAAAAATTTGATGTTATACAAGTAACTCTTGATATAAGAAACCTTTAATTCAAAAATTTTATATTTTCTTTAAAATTTTTTAACAAAGTTAATATTAGAGATCTTGAAGTCTTGGTATAAAAAAAAGGTTTTAATTAGAACCAGAGCTTTCTTTAACTATGCAAGTTTTTTAAGAAAGAAAAATTATTTTCAAAAAATAAAATAATAATTTTGCATATTTGTTATTATGTCAGTATGTGATAAAATAGAAGATACAATAAACTATCGCTGTGGCATCTTCGAATTATTATCTATACATGATCTATAAATTATTATCTGAACTTCCGGGAGAGCAATTCTAGCAATTTATTAAATGATAATGGGTTTGGGCTTTATAGCTTAATTGTTAAATTGCCAAACCCCATAGAAATTAAGTCAAGATCCATAGTTCAAGTCAGGCTGGAGGTGAAAAACTCCGTAACTTATAGGTGAGGAGCCAAAATCAAATACAGAGCTTCATGGAAGTCCAAGTATAGTACGAATTTAATAAAAATTCCTAGAAGAAGATCTAACTATAGAGAGTTGGTGTCATGTTTAGCAAGCAGTATTATAAAAGGTCTGGACAATAGGTTGTGTATGTTAATTTGTGGAGATAAATACTATAGAGAGTTGGTGTTATATTTAGCAAGTGGCATCATAGAAGGTTTGGAACAAATGGGATGTGCATATAAATCCTCAAGGCATTTAAATAACACCAACAACCCAGGTAGTCTGGGATCTTGCTTGAAAGAGTAATACTAATGTTCTAAACTGGGAATAATGAGTGAAGCTGTAGATATAGTAAAAGACATACATGGTAGCATCAACAACCTAGAGGTTTAAGATCTTGATTAGAAGAGTAATACTAATATCCATACTAGAAGTAATGAGCGAAGCAGTAGATATGGTTAAGATTTGTGAAAAAGAATTGGTCTAATTAAATTTTGTAAATACCTCTGGCATCTATATAAGGTCAGAAGTTGTGTTAAATATTTTATTATATATTACTAACTTTAGTAATAAGTGCCATGCCAGTGTATTGTTAGTCAAGGTTCCAGATCTCCTTGTAACACCAAGCTGAAAATGAAAATGATTGTTAGTAGTATACCCACATGTAAAAATGGATACATTGGGAAGTCTTTGGTGTTCATGCTATAGACAATACCAACTTTGGTAGCATTATAAAAAGCAAGTAGTACACTGCAGAATAACAACTAGAAATTCTAATAAATCTGAGTATGCCAATTTAGGAAGGTTGTGGCTTAAGATATGAATCATGTTATGGCAGCATCCCAAAAGTTGGCTTGAGATATAGACACGATGATTGCAGCACAACATATATCCAAATCAGAATAGTACTAAATTAAATATAAGGCCATGTACACCAATTTGGGAGCAACAAAAGTGAAAAACTACTGGAATAAACCAAACTGGAAGGAAAAAAAAAATTACTGCAGGAATGGATAAGGAGACTAGATACTAATAACAATACAGAAAACTATATATAGAAAAAAAGTAAGTCATATGCTAGCTGGAAGTTGATTAATAGGATAATAGCCATTGATTAAATTCTAATATATAGCAAAAATACAACTAAATTGCTTAGGGTGGGTGTTATTAGATAGTCTAATGTAGCACAACTTAATTCCTGTAACATATAATATGTAATAAGTTCTTAAGTTCTTAAAATTATAGCATATAAGCAATTTACTAATAAAAAAAAAAAAAAAAAAGACACCTTTGAGTATATATGTGGAATAATTAGTATCACAATAGAATGTGGAAATTATAAACAAGGTCAGCAATTGCAGATAAAATTTGCATCTTTCATACAACAATGCTAGTGGAATTGTATTAGAAAGTAATAAAGTGAGACTATTTTCCAAAATTTTTTAAACCTCAACTTGATCTTATAGTTTATGTTATTCTTACACATTTAATTTTACATCATAAACAACAATACAACAAATATTATAGTGGCCATGAAAAATCTTCATAGAGAAAAAGCTTTAAGAAAAAATAGATTTTACTTCAAAAAAAAACTATTAACAACTAATATATAATGGATATTAATAAGTGGGTTTGTTCTTGTCCAAGTTTTTTTAATTAACCAGTTTTTTTTATATAAGCATTTAATGCAAAATGTATTATTTATGGTTAATCCAGAATTTTTTAAACATATTTAATAACAAGAAATCTGTCTATTTTTATTCAAATCATCTTAACAATCTATATACAATCAACAACATATTTTAATGTTTAATGAACAACAATGGTTTGAGGAACCTTCTATATCTACATTACCAGGTAATTCATTTGAAAATAATAATTTTTTTTTTAATAAAAAAATTTTTTAATTACTAATTATCATTCATTTTAGATGTTATGAATGATATTACTAGTTCCATTAACAATATGTGATGAAGAATCTTGTTAGATTTTGAAGAGTATGAATTTATATTACAAGGTGCTTTTGCTATTGTGCAAGAACAACATGCAGTAAGTAATACTTGGTAGGCACAGTCAGTTTCTAAAAATTTCAATGGCATTCAAAATATAGTGAATGATATTAAAAGTTACAGGAAAAGAATTACTAATCCATAAACTTGAAAAGACCATAATCGAAGTACAATGTTTTTAGAAAAGTAAATTATCTTGGTATATATGCTACTAAATGTAATTATTTGTTTAGATATACTTTATTTACTTTTTTTTTTTATAGTAAAATTCTGAAGCTACTTTAAAAAAATAGTTACAAAGTTCAATGTATCATAGATCGAACAAATTATCTAATTCCTTCACAATGTAAAATATTTTATTTAAATTTAAAACCATTAATAATAGAAAAATGGAATAATTTAGGTTAGATATTGCACATATATATCTCAATATGGTAATCATTTAGAGTCTAGGTATTTTCTAATAATATCATTACAAAAACTTGGAATATTAATTTTTGTAGTGTAAGAGGATTATTAGACTCCAAGTATTGGATACCAATGTTAAATTTAAAATCCTATTTTCTGTTCCTAATTTGCATAATAATATCATGCAGCTACCTTATTTTTATAAATCTGGGTTATATGATAAACCAAAAAAGGTATAATTTGCTGACAACTATTTTATTGACATCTATTTTACTAACAATTTAACCTGGTTTATGTTAAGGTTGACATGATTTATGCAATTCGATAAGCATAGTATTTTGGGAAGGTAGATTTTAGGAAGTGAGAATCAACGATAAACAATATAAATATTAAAGATCTCGATTTGAATGGCTATCAAAGCATTAACAAAATAATGGTTTCCTTTATTATTATTCTATTTCCAAATATTACACTTAAATATGTATATAATTTAACTAATTTCTGGACATTAACTATGACAAAACTATATAATAAGACCATTCAAACTCATATAAAAAGAAAGCTAGGTGATATTTTTTTTTTTTTCTTTTTTTTTTTTTTCTTTTTTTTTTTTTTTTTTTTTTATTTATTTATTTATTAATTCTTTAATTATGTGTTTATTGGCTATACTCTTTAGAAGCCTCTTGCAATGCGATTTTCCATCTTGCTTTTGTAATTCTTACTAATTCAAGTTGTTTATCAGTTAATTTACATATCTGTTTAACTTGAATAGCTTGATTTTGAAATTTTGATAAATATGCTAAAATTTCTCTATTTGCATTCTTAGCCTCATCTATCTTTGTTAAAAATTCATCAAGTTGAGGAGCAGGTTTATAAAAACTTAATGATTCTTGTAATACTGAATTATTTATTGAAGCATATAAAGGTTGTAGATTAGAAATATTTGAAAATGTTGTAAAATAGGATTGTGAAGAGTTATTAGATAATAATTGTGAAGGGATATTTGTCATTGTATATAAAGGAATATTTGGTAATTATTGTAAGGGCATATTAGATAAATATGAAAACAAGTTATTTAATAGTTGTGGTGAGAAATTATTTAATATTTGAGATAGAAAATTAGTCGATAGCTGCATTGGTTGTAATAGCAATTGTGGTTGTATTTGTGAGGGCATTTGTGATAGCATTTGTGATGGTATATGTGTAAGTGCTTGTGAAGACATTTGAGATAGTACTTGAAAAGGTATTTGCAAAGACATTTGAGGAGATAATTGTGATGAAAGTTGTGAATTAGATATTCTTCTTTTATTAGGTGGTAATGTAAAGATTGCGTGACTTGGTGATGCATTAATATCTGCTAATCTATTTAACTATTTGAAATAATTTTAATAATTTTATAATTTAATAGTAAATATTACTGAATAAATAGATATAAAATAGTGATGCCTGATGCAGTGACGCAAACCTGACGCAACTATAAATTTCATCAAGTTTCATCATCAATAAAACTTGACAAACCTTATAGTTGTGTCACTGCATCAGGCATCACTAGTATAAATCACAAATTTTATATACAATTGCTCGAGCTCATGTTATATAGTGCATGCCTGTTAATTTAATGTGACCAGTTTTAGTAGCCCAACAGGAACCTTCACAATTGGCACAAAAATATTTTTCACGAATTTGAGAAATAGTAGATGCCATAATACGTTTGTCATCATCAAGCTGAGATTCTTTAGGCTTTCTACTAAATAAATGTAGTTTTTTTTTATTTAAATTATCATCACTATTAGGTTCTTCAGATCTTTAAAATAATAAAACAATCGATGAATTAATAAAGTATTGCTATGTATCTATAAAAAAAATAATATAATTATATACTGATCTGTGTAATCATTTTTTTGCATTGCTTTTTGAAGAATTCTGCATTTGAATATTAATAAACACTTCTTTTTTTTCTATTTGTAGCCTGATTATAATCTTCAATAAAACTTTCAAAATCACTCTTATTGATAATTTGAGTTCCTGCCCCAGTTTCTTTTGTCACTTTATATGACAATACATAATCATTTTGAGTAATAGTAGTATTATTTAGTTGAAATTGAATATGCAAAAGAATTTGATAATGGAATTCACCACATGAATCTGCTAAAATATTTAATCATTTGGCAGGTAATGTAGTATTATCTTGATTTTTAATACATAGTTTAAGTAAAAATTCTTTACTTTCATACTTATTATTTTCATTATCCAACTTATCTAACTGTCTACTAAAATTGTTATTCTCTAAATCTAATTCTTCAACCTCTTCATTTAAAAGATCTTCAAATTCATCACATACTGGTGTATCGTAATCAAAAGCAGTATAATCATCAAGCTTGTCAATCTCAGGTATGTTGGAAATATACTTATTTGTATTGAAAGTTGTATGGAAATCAAGCTTGTGAGTCTTAGATATGTTAGTATTATACTTATTAGTATTAAATGCATCAAGCTGATCAGTTTCGAATATGTTGGTAATATGATTATTGGTATCAAAAGTTGTATGATCATCAAGCTGGTCGGTTTCAGATTCAGATATGTTGGTATCAAAAGTTGCACATTCGGTAGGACTTATAGATTTGGTCAACTTTGAGTTTGTAGATTTTGTCAACTTTGATTTTGTAGATTTTGTCAACTTTGATTTTGTCAGTTTAGTTTTACCAATACGATACCATTTACTATTACATGTGGAGCAAAATGAAAATTTGAAATCTTCTGTAAACTCTGTATCATAATTATATTTTTTCTTTGAATCTGTTAGGACTTTAATTTGGTTATCATTAAATTTGTATTATAATGAATTGTAAAAGCATATGGAACTAATTTTGTACGATTCCGTGTTGTAGGTGCTATATTTTTATCACATTCACATAAAGATTTCAAAGAGTCTTCTTTGCAATAAAGACACTTCGCGCACTGGTAGCAAGTACCTATAAGGTAATCCATAATTATTTTACATATTAAAATAAAGAAAAAACTATATTTTTATATAGTTTTACTATACATTTACAAACAAATCAAAATTGCATACAATCATGTACAATCGGGTATAATCGATTGCAATCGAACAATCGGGGTATGCAGCGATCTACAAATTTTATCAAAAGTTGCATCAATATGCAAACAGCGATAAATCAATTAATACTTTATTAAATATTATCATAATGATCCTAATCATGATAACACATGATTTTCGTAACTTTTTTGGGTGACGATTTTACCCCGGTCGGTAATTCTAATGGAATTTGGAAAACTGCTATTTGTTACTGGTTTGGAATTGGCGTGGAGAAGGATGCAAATAAATTTCTGGATGGATCAAGTTAATTTTTAATTTTTTTATTAGAATATTTTGTAATTCTTTATTTGAAATTAAGATTTCTTATACAATTTTTAATTATTAGGTTAAGTAAAAAATGCATTTTCATCAATCTAAATCGGCGATTTAAGTTCATAAATATTTATTTATTATTGAGTATAAAGAATTTGATAATATTAAAATAAAAACAAGTTAAAAAATCATAAATAAAATATTTACCATTACGTTTAAATTCACATTAATTTAGTATGTAAGTATAAAGAACATTTATTAAAATAGTGCAACAAGTTCAAAACAAGAACATAAATACTTATTTACCATTACGTTTAAATTTATTTCATTCACATTAATCATTTTATTCAGTCAGTGAGTATAAAGAACATTTATTAATCGATGGAATTAAAAACTGCAAAACAAGTTAACAAAACAAGAACACAAATACTAATTTACTATTACATTTAAATTTATTTAATTCGCATTAATTCAATCAGTGAGTATAAGAACATTTATTAATAAATGGAATTAAAAACAGCAAAACAAGTTCACAAAACAAGATCATAAATACTTACCATTACGTTTAAATTCATTTCATTCGCATTAATCATTTTATTTAATGGGTGAGTATAAAGAACATTTATTAATCAATGAAAAAAAAAACAGCAAATAAGTTCATAAATCAAGATCATAAATACTTATTTATCATTTCGTTTAAACTCATTTCATTCGCATTAATCATTTTATTTGATGGGTGAGTATAAAAATATTTATTAATCAATGAAATTAAAAGCTGCAAAACAAGTTCATAAAACAAGATCATGAATATTTATTTACCATTACGGTTAAATTCATTTCATTCGCATTAATCACCTCACTCAGCTTGTGAGTATAAAGAACATTTATTAATCATTGGAATTAGAAACAACAAACAAGTTCACAAAACAAGACCATAAATACTTATTTACTATTAATTAATTTAGTCGGTGAGTATATTTACATTCAATATAAAGTTTAAATTGCAGTTGCGAAATAAAACATTATATATTATTAGAGATCCTAAATATGGAAAATGTGTACATCGTAATGAAAAACAACCAGCATGGTGTCTATCATGCGATCCTGACATAACAACAAGGTGGACAAGTGGAAATAAAAATATTGATGATTGCATGAAAACATTCCAACCTAGAATTTGGAGCATAAATAAAGCTATTACTAAAGTTATGGATAAAGAAATTAACAAACTATTGGAATTAATACAAGTCACAGAAAACTGGATCGATACCTTATTATACATGAAAAAACAATTAAATCTAATGATTTTTTCAAGTTCTTTTTCTTAATTATAATGATTATAATTTTAAGCAAATTACTAGAGTTAGTAAAGAGACATACTGGCATATAGAAAGTTTAATTCGCAATAATCTAGTTTTTTCAAATAATTCTAAACATTTACAAAGACCAGATTGGTGACAATTGGCAGTAACTTTAGAACACTTAGATTTTAATGGAAATAATGCTTCTGTAGGACGATTTTCTAGACAGTGGGCTTAGAAATTGGCACTATGGTTGAGTATACAAAACATATCAGATACAGTAACAGCTATTAATTTAATTGGAGATACTTATGTACAGTGGCCTGATTCTATTGAGCGACAACAAATTAATAGTAATTTGAGCAAAGGTTCAGTAAGTAACTTGAGTGAAGGTTTATTATTTACAAACACGTATCATTAAAAGTTCGTTTATCTGCATAATAAAAAATTTTTACTTATTTTGTCAAATGGGAGTCTCTAAACACTCCCATTTCATTTTCTGATTTCAAAATTTTGATACACAAATAAGATATTTAAACTCTTATCTATTTCTGAAATATGCTATTTTTTTTATTTTTTTTTTAATTCTGAAACCCCTTACTGCAGGTGAAATCTTGAACATCCTAAGTGATATCTATAAATCATTCATTGACTGATTTAATTTAATGCGTGTGCACAAGACTTGATACCAATACAGAAATTCGACTAGATTAAACCATTTCCATAATAAAATCATAGACCATACATTAACATAATTTGAAACTGTACAATACTTACAAGACACTTAATTGGTATTATATTTCATGCTTAAAAACCTCGATCATATAAATTCAGAATAAACTCTACATTCAATAAAAGCCATCTGTACTAACAGGCTATTATAAAACTTGATCCTTTATTTTAATGGTAAATTAAATTATAATGAAAAACCTTGCTTAACTAAAATTTTAAAAGAACTTTTGATAATGCATCATGTTTTACACGCTGTTAAATCTTTAAGCAAATTTACTCTCGTAATAATAAATCTATAAAAAAGGAAAAAATTATTTATCATTCAATGCTTAACACTTATGACTAACGAATCTACCATGTGCGTTATAATATAATATTTTTTATTTCCACATATTCATGTCTAATAAAACAAAAAAAAGAAAATTTAAATTGCTAATTAGTATCTTTATAACTAATAAATTAAATTAATTAAATACTTGGTATACATCATTATTAATAAGCTACATATATTGTCGGGGATGATGCTGAAATTTAGAGTCCCATTTAAATCTATAATACCTACTAAAATTCACATATACTTTTTTTTTACTAACAACACTAACCCTAAACCCTAACCTAACCCTAAAAAAAACCCCCTAACGAAAAAGCCCGAAAATTTTTTAAAATTTCATAATAAAATAGGTCAAAATTTCAGCAACATCCAATTTCAGCTTCATCCCCGACATATATTAATAACCTCGAATCTCAATCTCGTACGCGTAATCCCTAAATCTGATAAATAACTATACTAATTACGTTCATAAAACCTCACGACCAGTTTTGAAAATCCAGTACACAAATGCCATTTTTTTATACAGGAATGTTATTTTATTTTTTGTGCATACTGAACAGAAAAACAATACATGCACAACAAATTTTCAACACTACTCACGATCTCCAACTAACCTTAAAATTATATTTACATTCAATATATCACAATTATTATACCAAATAACAATAAAAAGCAATGAACAATAAATTTTAAGCGATAAATAGAGTTTAGAACCGGTTTTATCTTTCATATGGGACCCCCCACAGCAAAAGGGGGCAGTGGGCCAAAAAAATTTTTTTTATTTTTAATTGATTTCTTGAAAAATTAGATTGATAGGAAACCAATGTTTATAAAATTACAAAATCAAAATTTTTGTCCCACTGCCCCCTTTTGCTATGAGGGTCCCCAATATATTAAAACTTGTTTAATCGGTTTAGAAAAATAAAACCGGTTCCAAACTCTAGCGATAAAACCAAAACAATTAACAAAATTACAACATAAAAATCAATCTCTGCATAATATAACCTTTATCAATTTTGCAATTAAATACGCACATTACATTATACATCACATATCACATAAATATCTAACTTAAACTTTTAAAAATAAAAAAAATCCTAATCTCAATATCAAAGCATGGCGAAGTCGCCTACATGTGCTACTAATAATAAGTTAATTAATCAATGTATTAATAATAATTAATCAATGTATTAATAATAAGTTAATTAATCACGGTATTTAATCTTTATTCATCAATATTTAAGGAATTCAAACAAACAATTTCTTTCCATTCTTACCCTTTCTTATTCTTATTCTTTCTTATTTTTTTATTTTATAATAACCATGCCTCACGATATTCAATTAAGTGACTTTGAAAAAGAACAAATTATTGGAATGCATAAGCTTGGAGCTACAATTACGTTTATTGTTACAGCACTAAATATACATAAATTTTTGTTATATTTTTTATGTTTTTTGTGCAACCGTGTTAAACCTTATGAGCTGACTAACTCGATCCGGAATCTCTAAATATGGCAAATTGACACTATAATAGCTAAACTCTATCCAACCCTAATATTGGAAGGCACGAAAGAGGGTGTGGAAAGACTTGGTCCGAGTATAGTTGGTGGTAGAATTACTGAATTACGGCATTACGGCAACTTTTTCTCTGGTAGAATTAATTCTACCATTAGTGCTTAATTGCCGTAAATATTAGTGCCATAATGTCATAATGCCATAATGCCATAATACTGCAATGCTACAATAGCATAATAAGTATACATTATTGGGCAAAAATTGTTGAATAACGGCAATTTGGCAAATGAGCACGTGCCGCTTTGCGGCA